AAATTGATTTAAAACATAGCAAAGGTCTATGATTCGACATTAAAACTGAGACCTTTGCTGTTGGGTTGCGAGAAAGCGCTGATGAATTTGATCAGTTCTTTATATCTGATATAGAACTGATTTATAAAACATTATTTATCTGTGAAAAAAACCTTGGAGATTTGGACGAATACTCTTTTATAACAAAAATCACATTCATGTCTTTTCTCGCGCTCCCTAACATCCTATTGAAGTGGTAATTTTTTTTATTTATTCATTTATTTATTTTTATTTTTTTGAAATGATGACATTAACGACATCTAATTTTATTTTTTATAACAAAAATCACATTCAGGTCTTTTCTCGCGTCCCCTAACCTCCTATAGGCCGTTTGCATTATGACGTAACTTTACTACAACTACCAGAGAGCCTTGCGCATTTTCATTCTTGTTCAGATATGTAATCTCCTTGGAGAGATTAATAAAACAATTGGCACTAATKCCATTAAAAAAAATTGGCAAAGCACTCTGGCAGTTGTAGYAAATGACGCCATAATGCATATCGCCTATTGAAGTGGTCCTTTTTTTTTGGAAATGATGACATTAACGACATCTAATTTTATTTGCTTAAAGAGGGGCGGGGCAACGTCTAAAATTAACTAGAACTTTAATTGGAAACTGAAAAATCAATGTTCAGTATTTTCACTTTAATATTTGTTATACGTGCCTGCAGGAATCAATATTTTAGCGTGGGAAATATAGTCGTTTCAAGGACGCAATGACCGTTGACAAACTGTCGGATGAGGAGCTCTTTTCACCTTTTCTACGAACTTTTAAATTTCAACAAAACTCTTGGATGCAAGCATCTATTTTATCATTTCAGAACATGGGGAAAGAAGATGGAAATGAAAGAGATGATATTTTTGACGATGTTTTCAGCCAAATCAAGTCATTTGGTCGATATCAACACTGCGTTTATTGGTTCATCGCTGCAATAAAACTCCCATTGGCCACACAGTTTGGCTTCCTGATTTTTAGTTTTGGAACTCAAAAGTTCCAGTGCGAATCGTCTAATGTGACATGTCCTATAAACAAATGTTGCAACAACTGCACATCATATTCATTTGATCAGAGATACGTTAGTGCCGTGTCAGAGGTATGTCTAACCCAGCCTGAACAAAATTGAAACAATTAAAAGAATCATGGCGGCTATAACTGGTACCTAGTCGCCCTCAAGTTCATATACAGTGCAAGGCAATATATACGTGCAACACTACACATTAAAATAGTGAAATTTAGTATAATAAGTGAAGAAAATGTCGAAGCGTGAATATACTCAATTTAGTGTGCAAGTGCAATTAGTTGAGCAACGCCTTACAGTACAACACGCTTTCACGGTCCAGTAACCACACTCAATTAATCATAGTTTGTACTAATTTAGTAAAATTTAGCAACATTT